TGGTTGTACCATGCTTTACCCAGGCCATAAAAAAGAAGTAACATTTTTAAATTCAGGACCCAACACTTTTTACCCCTTTCTGCTTCATGGTACTGAAACATGTAACATAAATAGACCAGTCTGTGTCGGGGTAATGATAAAATGCGAAGCCAGTACTTAATAATCCTAATAAGTCTAAACGTTTTAATAGTAAACCTACCTAACTCCCCCCTTATAGCCAAATTTTGTGCATTATGATAGACTTTGTTTTGTATAATTTCAACTTGATTGCCATTGTGAAAGCCCCAGACTTCGCTAGCGTACATTAAAATTGGTAGGATTTTACCATCAAAGATTTTAAATGCAATATTTACATCAATACCGTCAAATTGCGAAATACTTTTCTTAATCGCAAACAACGATCCTGACGCTTTTTTGGCCAAACTAGACTGGGCATAGTTCCAAAGCCCAGAACTCGAACAATACTATACCCAAATAATTATAATAAGAAACAACTTCTAGTTTATGTCCTGCAAGCCACCATTGCTCAGTTGATTTCAATCTGCCCCCACACCTAAATACCATTACTTTAGATTTATCAATATTAACTTTTAGTCCTCCATTTATTTGCATATAGATCCAAATTATTCAGAAGACGTTGTAAACCCATAATGGAAGATAAAAACTGCCAAATTGTCTGCAAATAACAAATAAATATAATTTTATAGGCGTTAAATAAACTCCGGCGTGGCTGTGTTGTATTGATTCGCCAAGATCATTTACAAAAAGAGAGAAAAGGAGTGGCGATAAAACACTGCCTTGTTGGACTCCTACTTCACATTTGAACAATTCAGAAATACCTACTGGGGAGCGAACACTTGCCCTGGTATCTTGGTACATGAACTTCAATACTTTAAATAGTTTGCCACCCATTCCCGATTTTGTTAGTTTATAAAAGAGTAAGGTGTATAACATGTTAGGACGTAATCATTTACACTGGCACCTGTAGATTTAATATATGTAAAATGGCCTAGTCCTTTATCTTCAAATAATCAGCCATTAAGATTTCTTAAATTAGAGTTTTTACATAAATCTAGTAAAAAATGGCCAAATGGATTAATTGCACGATCCTGGGAAGACCTTTATGGTAACTCGGGTTCTGGTATATTTACTTGATCAGCGAAAAAAATCTCTGTTATCATGTTCAGTAAAGTCTGGTTCCGTTGCCGTTCTGGCGTTAAAGTCGCCACAACAAAAGAATTTATAATCCGGATATTTAGATATATTATTTGCCAATTCATCCTCCAAAATTTGAAAATTTATTTCATTAAAATGACTGCTAGAATACTGGGGTGAAAAATAAACAATGCCAAAACAATATTTCGAATCACCAGTACTGCAAAGAAACCAGACAATACTATCAGTCGCTTCACTGTTTAAAAATTTCACCTCATTAAAATACCCTGTTTTATATAAGATACTAATGCCACCAGAAGTACGACCATAGCGTATGCGCTTGGTACATGAATTGTGATAGTATCATGATTTATATTTCAGTCAGTTTGACAGTGGTTGTCATGACATATACTGATAAAGGTTAATGACAAGACCAGATGGCGAGCTGGTCGAAATCAACCAAAAACATCTTATGACTCTGCAGTTTTTAAGATACAAGACAGTAGCTGTAATTCTAAACCAATGTTGTTTGCGAGTTTAAAAAAGGTAGTATCTTGGTGGAATGTTAGTGCGAGATTATTACCCCATCAATATTAGTTAGTGTTGACAATGTATAGAAATGTTTTCTCTAGACAGCTTGACGAGTAATTAATTGATTACGATGTGTAAAACTTTCATGTGATTGGTTGTTTGTTGGAAGGAAAGGCCTTGGAGTCTCTTATACTGATTGTAATTGGTTAAGGGGTGACAAGAAATAAAGATGGATTTAATGCTGTCTCGGGTGAAAACCAGGGACTTGGCAGAGAATCGTTTTGGGAACATGAACGAAGCTTGTGTGTGTCTTTTGTTAGCCTAGCGTGGAAACGACCGAATCCCGGTTACCTAAGTGAAAGGTTTTTAACCATCAAAAATACCTATCACAATAGCTTTCATAACCATTAATTTCAAATTTGCTTTCAGGTGTGCTTCATGTTTCAGTAAGAAAAATAATGTCATATTTAGATAAGAATAACAGAAAGTCAGGATTGGTCCATTTAGTTTTCAGGCCCATTTGAATCCCTGGGGAATTAATGAATACAATTCTAGTATCATCTAACGAGTCTAATGGGCTACAGTTTCCAAGTGGTACGCCGGGTGAAAAGAGCTCTATTGGTGACAATGGGCCGTTGTTTCAGTTTATCGTCAGAATGATGTCACTTTGTGAACTACAAATATAATTTAAACAACTTTCATTGTCAACATTTTTTAAATACTTGTCTTTATTGCTCTTCCCACTGTCAACAAAGAGACTGTTTTTTCTGTTGTAAACAGTCACCTTTGATTGTTACATGCATGGGTAAACTTTTGGTCGTGCGCTAAGTTTGGATCTACATGCGAAAAGCCGCCCGGTGTAAACCTAGAAATTTAGTGTCATTGTCACAACGAAGTGACTAACGTACTGATAGACCAGAGGCCACATTCCTCCCATCACACAAGTTTACGCCCGGAGAGTCTACAACTCTCGGTATAATCAGCATGCTCTGCGTCTCAGACACGTCTGCTAATGGTTGCTTTCTTTAAGTGGTTCTTCGGAATTATTACCGTCTCCATGATTGTCAGTATGACAATGAATACATCAGTCTGACATTTAAAGGTTCCAGCTCTGATTCGACCCCGAGCTCATTAAGGTAGAACCGAGGACACACGAGCTGACATCTCAACGATATCAAGACAATATGGGCGACAATATATATATTGCGTTGCCGGGATACCTCATGAAACAACGCAAATTCGTACACACGTTCTCCGATTTATTCTGCAAAACTTGTTTATTCACCACAGACACATCCTTGGACCGATCAATGCCCAATAGACACGCTACCGACCAGTTTTCATTAAGAACTAGGTATTACTGCAGGCGTGCAGTAATGAGGGGTGCATTAAGAACGAGGTATTATTGCAGACGTGCAGTAATGAGGGGTGCAATAAGAACTAGGTATTATTGCAGGAGGTGCAA